GTCCCTGCGAGGCGGCTGGCGGTCTCTGGGCGTTCTTCCTCGCACGCAGCCCCTTCGCTGTCCTCGTGGAGATTTTTTTTTTCTCTTGCCCGCCCGCCCCCATCCACCCTGAGCCCAGCTGGGAATGGTCCCTCAGCAAAGCCAGACAGTAGTAAATAACCAAGCGGCCGTAGTAGTTAGCAACAAGTCAGCCTTTTTCCCGAAGGGCTGCGCCTTCTGGTAACCCTCTGAAGCCCATGGATGGGGAAATGATTCTCTTCTCTTAAGAGTGCCCTGCGTGGCCAGGGGGCTGGACCCAGACTGCACCCATTTTCACCCACCCCTGCCTTCAGATACTAGCCCAGCACAATCCCAAAGTTCCCCTTCTCCCACCCAGGCTCAGACTGTTTGGAGACTAGGCGGGGATGCCAGCCCCCACAGGTGTGTAGTGGGTGGTGCCCGTTGGCATTAGGTGGGCGGGGCCTAAAGGTTATCCGCAGAAAAATCAACCAACTGAAAGGGAACTTCAGAGGTCACTGTGAACTTTATTAAGTCTGACTCAGGTTTCCCTCCTTGCAGCACAAAACTAAAGGATCTTTATTATCTTGGCTCAGGAGTTCAGCCCGCAGCACTCACAACCTTCAAGTTCGGTTTAGTACTCCTATCTCTGAGCGTTTAGAGTGATAAGAAAACTACCATATGGTAAGTCCTTATGCACCCAGAACTGTGCTAAGGGCTTTACAGGTATTATTAAATTAAACCCTCACAACAGCTGATGAGGGGTTGTCGCTGATTCGGGAGGAGAAAACAGGCGCAGGGACGTAAAGCCACTTGGTGAAGGCCACGCACACAGCTCGGGTTTTAATCCTGTGTTACCCGACCCCAGAGCCTCTCCTGACCACTTACGCCAGTGGTTCTCAACCTTCCTAATGCCGCGACCCTTTAATACAGTTCCTCATGTTGTGGTGACCCCCAACCATAAAATTATTTTCGTTGCTACTTCATAACTGTAATTTTGCTACTGTTATGAATCGTAATGTAAATATCTGATGTGCAGGATGTATTTAGGCGACCCCTGTGAAAGGATGGTTCGACCCCCAAAGGGGTTGCGACCCACAGGTTGAGAATCGCTGACTTACGCTAATAATTAACATTTGTATAATACCCAGGGCAGATCTAGTTTTGGTGAGGCCTGCAGCTTGTACAATTTGGAGCCCTCTTTAAGGAGAAGGATGAGGAATTAGGGGTACAAAATTAGATTCAGAGCCCGGGAGGGGCTCAAGCCTAACGTTACAGCTGATGAAACATTTCACACGAAGACTCTCATTTCCTCCTCCTGGCCTCCCTGGGAAGTCAGGATTATCATCCTCATCTGATTTATAAGGGAACGTAAATGTCCAAGATCACACAACTCACGGGAGGCGGTTAGGACTGGCAGCCACTGGCCACAGCTGTGTCTTTAAGAGACAAACTCCAGGCAGATGTTGGTCAGACAGCCAGATATGCCTAAACAGAAGCAGCTGCGATAACAGTGTTCTCTGTGGTTTTGGGGAGTGGACACTCACCCATCCCTGTCTGTCCTTAGGACAGCGTTTGTTCCAGAGCCACGCAGCCCCTCTCCATGGTCCACCTGCGGCCCAGAGCCCCCGGGGTTCGGAGATTGGAAGTCAAGGAACAGGAAGCGGACTTGGCTAGAAGTTGAACTTATCTTGCTCTCCTTACGATGGCTGCTGGCTCCTCCACCTTCTTCCAGGAGAAGAGGAGGCAGCCAGGGCCAGGAGCTCAGGGGCCAGGTGGACACTCCGTGTGGCCAGGGGTCCTGCCTATTTGAAAGCGCTGTGATGACACGGAAGGGCTGCATGCCCAGCGTTATCTCTTTGGCCATCCCCAACAGGAATGACCAGCATGTCCGATCCCAGGGCTGGGGGCAGGAAAGGGATGACGGATGGTTTTTCCACTCCAGGGGAGTGTCCGGAGGGAGTGTGGGAGCAGGAGCAGGGCGCCTGCTGGGGGAAGGCCCAGGCTAAGGAATGTGGGGGAGTGTCAGGCAGATCTGGGGGCGGTGGGAGGGTGAAGGGAGACCTGGAGACTGGAAGGCCTCTGGGCTGGAGAGTTCACGCCGAATACCCAAAATGCTCTGGTTTCAGTGACAGCATCCACAGCCTCATCCCATCCTCAGTTGACTTCATCAACTCTTCCCCATGGCGAAGGGGCTCACCTAGAATGTAGGCACAGAGAGAGACAGAGGCACATGAATACCATGTGTAATGAGGCATTTGGGTCCAGTTTTTTTAAAAATATATTTTTTATTGATTTCAGAGAGGAAGAGAGAGATGGAAACATCAGTGATGAGAGAGAGTCATTGATTGGCTGCCTCCTGCATGCCCCACACTGGGAATTGAACCTGCAACCCGGGCATATGCCCTTGACCAGAATCGAACCCAGGACCCTTCAGTCCACGGGCCGACGCTCTATCCACTGAGCCAAACCTGCTAGGGCTTGGTACAGTTTTGTGTGTTTTTTAAAATATATTTTATTGATTTTTTACAGAGAGGAAGGGAGAGGGATAGAGAGTTAGAAACATCGATCAGGTGCCTCCTGCACACCCCCTACTGGGGATGTGCCCGCAACCAAGGTGCATGCCCTTGACTGGAATCGAACCTGGGACCCTTCAGTCCGCAGGCCGACGCTCTATCCACTGAGCCAAACCAGTTAGGGCTCGGTACAGTTTTTGATGTTTGATTGCTGACAGCTCTTAAGCCGTCACCTCTCCTGCTTCCCCTTGTGTCCCACACCTGGACCAGCTGACGAGAAAGCCCGGGCGCAGACTGCGCTCCCTCCTTTGGCATCCACGGGAGGTTTGAACCATGCAAGCCCTGCGCTTCCCACACAAATACTCACCCTGACCTCACTCCCAACCACAATAAAAATCCCGGGCCAATCTCCTTTCTTGGCTCTCTCCAGCCATATAAGACCTGCTCCCCCGAGACCTCAGTTACGTAAATAAAACTGTCCTACTCTCTTGGGGTGTGTGTGGCGTCATCTGTCCTGACATTGATGGGATCCATCTACCTCTGCAGTGACCACAACACGCCACTGTGGACTCTGCCGTAGGGCCAGGGAGGCTCCCTGGAGGAGGAGTATCTGGACAAGGGAGGAGGAAAGGACTGGCAAGAGGGAGCTCCGAGTGGAGAAAACAGAAGAGTTGGGGCCTTGCTTGGGGTGAAGTTTTCTAGTTGCAACTGTGACGTCAAAACTTTATAAAAGCACCTTTTGTTTACGCAGTGTTTGCTGTGTTCACACCAGCCTTCCTCTGCCTGACCCCTGCCCCCCCCACACACACACCCCATCTCGCTCTCTCCTTGTCCACTTGTCTCTTGAGGCTCCCAGACCACACCACTTGCTCACTCACTCCTCACAGGAAGGTCAGGCCGTGGACATGATGTACACAGGCAGTTAGTGGGCAGATAGTGATGGCGTGGAATTGGGGTGCCACTGGCATTGAATGCAGGCTACCTTCTGCCCGCTCACCTTGGGCAAGTTACTTTTCCCTCTAGGCCTCAGTTTCCCCGGATCTATGAAAGGAAAGGGCTGGAGAAAGTTTTTCCTTATTTCTCTACTGGTATCCTTCGTGTCCCAAGGCTCCTAATATTTGTCGGACTAAGTGGAACACATAACTGCTATTGAACTAAGACTCAGGTCTCTATCTCTGACTTGAACTGAAAATGCAAATCCTGAGGAGAGGGGGAGGAGCTGCGAAGCTTGAATGGGTTTATCAGATTTCCTTTCTCCAGTGACCCAGTTACAGGCCTGGGGTGGGTGGGGCAGGCGCCTCGTCCTGACAACTTCCCTGGCTCAGAATCTGTCAGCCTCATTCACTGACAACCTACTGTGTACAGGCACAGAGCTGGGGACCCCCGGGGCTGCCAGAGATGCACCAGAGCATGCGCCAGAGGCTGCAGCTTTATCCTGGCCTCACATTCTGAAAGCTCTCAAACTTAAGAGGCTAAACCCACATTATGTTGTATTTCAGGGCTGGTGCCTGGGGGCAATGGGTGGTGTTAGAAAGAACATTTTGGCTACAGCATGAAGCTGGCATTGTCAAGAGAGACTGAGCTAGC